GGGGACGGCCCCCCCCCCGGACCAGGCCCGGCCCCCCGGGAGCCGTTAGGGTTGCCAAGCGCTTGCCAGCTCACCATCGGTTCCTCGGTGACCCTCTCGAACTGAACCAGCCGGATCTTGCGCACCTCACGGGCATTCCCAGCAGCTGGCGTGCCGGGCATGGCTGAGCCATTGGTGTAGATGTCCTCGGTCACCGCGTTCGATGGATACGCCACAGCCTGTCGGGGCAACGCACAGACCACGGTGAGGGGCAGCCCTGGAGGCCCTGCAGGAGGGGACGGGCTGGCTGGGACTCCCCAGTGTATCGGCCCGGCACGATCCTGGGGGCTGCTGCAGGGTCCTACCGAGCCCACCAGCCTCAAGGGCACGTTCTGCCCACGCTACCGAGGCCCCGCCCGTGAGCAGAGCTGGTCAGGGAGCCACCGGGGAGCTGGGGCTGGCGCACATCACTGCCCTGCACTCCCAGCTCTTGCAAGCAGCTGGGCCTCGTGTCCCTCCACGGTGATCCCTGATGGCCAGCCGAGTAACATCAGTGGAGCTCGGTCCGGCCCAGCCAGCAGTGGGGCCTGGGTCCCGGGTCCCAGAGAGACAGGAGAATAAAAAGAAAGAAAAGGAAACAATGGACGTGTGCCGGCCTGAGAGACGAGTGTGACCCACAAGTCCAGCGTGCAAGCAGCACTGCCGGCCTGGCCACAGCTGAGAGAGGAAAAATGAAAGGTCACGGGAGCTGCAGTGTTCCCTGGAGCTGTGTCCTGCTGCAAGGAGATCCAAACCTTAACATGATGGTGCAGCAGCAGATTACAAACCCACGTTCCTGGATAAAAGCGATGGATCGTTGACACAAATCACAGCTCTCTCACCCCACAGACGCAGCAACTCCATCCCAGAGCCACAGAGCGAGAGCTCCCTGCCAAGACTCACTCCATCAGGGTCCTCCAAGGGAGCATGGCCGGTCACCCACCTCACAAGTCCCAGAACTGCCTGCAGCTCCCACTGTCCCAACCGCGACAGGGTACCAGCTGGGACATCTGCACAACCTTCTCAACGGCCGCTGGCAAGAGGACTAGCTGGAGGCAGCACATCAGCGATTACAGAGCTGACACCCGGCTCGGGGGAACCATGGGAACCGCCCAGACTAGCTCCCATTGGGCCAGCTTTTGCAAACGGACCCCATCTGGGTCCTGCTGCGTGGCAGGACCAAACCTTCTTAACCGTGGCCTTTTGGGGCTGCTGGCCAGGCTCCCCCTGGCCTCCCACAGCTCCAGGCCTCGTGGCCCCACCCTGGCTGTGACCCAGGGATGCCCCAGGTGCAGGTGCTGAAAGTGCTGAGCAGAGACAGGGCCTGTCCTGGCAGCGCAGGAGGGGAGCACTCAAGCCCCTCGCCCCAGCATTGGATTTCCCCGCCGTTGTGGATAAATCCCTGTGATATTATTAAGATCTTGTCCTTTTCGATCTATCTTTGTTAAGTGTCTTATAGAATCTCTGGAACATTTCTCCTGGAACTTTGTATTGAGATATCTAGATCTTGTAAGAAAAAAATGTCTTTTGAGCTCTCCCCTTTCCTTGACTGCCCTGTTGAAATGAATGAGGTGTGAATGGAGAATGGAAGGGGAGCGCCTCCAGCAGCAGTTGCCAGGGCGGAGAAGGTCTGGGAGCCAGATCTAAGACAATACCTGCAAAGTGAGCTCATTAAGAAGACTGGACAGACAGACGCCTTGGGAGTCCAGCAGCAAGTGCTGCCCTTGGAAGAACTCTCTTTGAAGCAGCATCAAGAAAGGCCAGGTGATGACTAATTGGCTGCATGAGAGGGATAAATAGGAGGCATCTTGTAGAGGGATCCCGGGTTTTCGTCTTGTCAAAATGGGAGCATCCATCCAGATCGGCAGAAGCCCGGCTCCACCCCTCCCCTCCCCTCCCCCATCTAACTCACCTGGCCAGTGCCGTTAGGGGAGCAACTATTGGTAACAAGATGGAGTGTGATGTGTGTGTGTGTGTGTGTGTGTGTGTGCGCGTGCATGAGTGTGGTGTGTGTGTGTGCATGAGTGTGGTGTGTTGTGTGTGTGTGTGTGAGAGAGAGTGCATGAGTGGTGTGTGTGTGTGTGTGCGCGTGCATGAGTGTGGTGTGTGTGTGTGCATGAGTGTGGTGTGTGTGTGTGCATGAGTGTGGTGTGTGTGTGTGCATGAGTGTGGTGTGTGTGTGTGCATGAGTGTGGTGTGTGTGTGTGTGTGAGAGAGAGTGCATGAGTGTGATGTGTCATATGCATATGATAAGTATGGATTGATCTGTGGCTGTTCAATTAATGTGGCGTGTTGCCTTATCCCTCTGAAAAAGATCCCGAGTACTTCTTTTAAGTACAACAACGTGCCGGGCGCTACCAAAGAGCCGGCTGTTGGAGGGAGGGAGGCGTCTGCAGCAGGAAATTGGAAAGATGGAAATTCTCACTCCCGTGGCTGGCCGGGTCTCAGTCCCAGGACCCTTCCCAAAGCCCAGTGCCAGCAGTGTGGGGAGCTCCAGAGACTCGCTCAGCCTGGGGCCCAGCCTCCTCCCCGGAAAACCGGGCCCCAGCTCACCACACTCGAGGCAGTGACGCCTTAGGCCTTGGCCAGCACAGCCAGGGACGCCGGGAAAAAGCTAGGCACACAGTGCCCAGCGCCAGCGGCACCTCAGAGCCTTGCAATGCCCAGCCCCCTCAGCTCCAGCCCCCTCTACTGCCACGCGAATCCCTGCAACAGCCCTGCCCGGGGGTGAGCTCGTCCCGTCTCCCCCGCGGCACGCCGCAGCCAGCCTCCACTCTGACTCCCAGGGCCCTGCCCCTCACCCAGATGGCAGCCAGCGGGCCACAGGAGCAGAGCTGGCCCCACCGCCCACTGAACGAACAGCCCTGGGTCATCCCTCTGGCAGGGCCCAGCCCTGGGCTCGAGGCAAGAAACGACTGTCTGGGCGGCAGGGCCTGTTGCACAGACGCTGGCTCTCACCGCACCCCAACAAGCATACAGCAGTGGGGAGAGCAGGCCCGGTGTGCTCTCCCCAAGAGGCCAGCAGGCGTCCCTGGAGCAGCCAGGACCCAGACCCACGGGGCAATGGGCAGAATTTGATCTCAAACCCTGCAGTGCTAAGAGCACAAGCCGCTGCTGCTCGAGTACAGGAGTAACCCGCCTCAGTACAGCAGCCGTAGACTCTCCTCTTCCTCCATGGGCCAGCCGGGGAGGAGAGACAAGCACCGTGCCAGTGCACATACAGAACCTCTCCACCTCCCAGCACGCCCTCTGGGACTGGGCTAGGCAGAGCTCACCACGTGCCTCATCCCGTAGCCATGCACTGCCGCAGCCGCCAGCCCTGCTCTGCTCAACCTCAGCTGTCAGGAAACCGGCTCAGACGCTGCTGGGAACGTCTTGGTCTCTAGTTGCCTTGACTTTTGAAGCTGACCTTGGATTCCTCTGCAGCTTATCTGAGCCCTGGCCAGCACCCTCCTTCCTCTCCCTTCGGGGCAGACACAGGCCACGGAGAAGGCTGCAGATATAGGGTAGAGGCGGCTTACAGCAGCATCACGACGCCATTGCTGGGCTCACTCGTGTCGCTTCTTTCATTCGCCAGCCACCAGAAGCATTTTCTAACCAATCCCCACGAGGCCTCCTGCCCGCTAGACACACTCGAAGCGGCACTGCTACTGGCAACTGCGCGCCTCTTTTTTCCTCCCCCAGCCACCAGAAGCATTTTCTAACCAATCCCCACGAGGCCTCCTGCCCGCTAGACACACTCGAAGCGGCACTGCTACTGGCAACTGCGCGCCACGCGGCCTGGGCCCAGCCTGGACCCAGCCATGCACTCAGAGACGGCAGAGTCTGCTGCGTGCAGCTCCCTGTCGTCACGAGCAGCCGCCCCCGCCCCCCCCCGCCCCACATTCCAC